TTCCAGCATTTTTTTACGAAGACTGACACCAAACTTGGTCTGACCCTGATTTAAATAAGTTTCTGGGTGATCAAGAATAGCTTACCCACACAGTGTTAGACATGCCTGGTGTTTCATTCAAAACCAGTTAGCCTTGCCAGTATGTGCATTGTGAGCGGACCAAAAAATTGTAGCCCAGGTGTTGGCAGGCCAATATTTTATGAATCATGGTCAAGGGACCTGTTTAACAAAAGAATCTGAGTGCCTTCAGTGTCCCATTAGGTTCAGTTCTTCTTGAAGACCTGGTATCACATTTGAACAAGGTCATAATAAAATGTATAAAACTGTATGTATGTATATATACATACACATATATATGATTCCACATATTTTTCCTCACATACATTCTTGTGAAACTCCTGAAAACAAACAGCCAACACCACAAACAAGCTCTCACACTGAAATAAGAAAATGTGTGCTTCCAGGGTCTCCCAGATCCTGTTCCTTGTTCTATTTAAATCAAGGCAGGTACACTATGGCCCTCCCAATGCTGTTGGACTCCTGCTTCCAGCAGGGATGATGTAGTCATCAACATCTGGAGAGGGCCAGGGAAACCAACTGTAGACTAAACCAAGAGGAAGGTTGAAGGGAACCATACCAGCACAAGGGAAATTTAAGCAAAACTGTGTGCCATACATCACACAACACAAAGAAAGGCAGGCTGAGATATTTCTGCAATCTTAAGAAAATACACAAGCATTGATTAAAGATTCTGTCTAACTCCATGAGGTTCTTTCTGCCTCTGTTTTTTTCTTCTTTTTAAAACCAAAATCAATCTAAGCAGAGAAAGACTGAAAGTAGAGAGCCTGCTTAATCCTCTCCCCTCTGATCATTTTTTTCAGCTCTAAAGCAACCTTTTGAAGCTTCTTCTACCATTTATATATATGAGAGAAAACATATGGGGTCCTCTGGGGACCAGATGGGAAAGGTCTGCATAACCTCCATTTCCATCTGGTCTTGCTCTGCCCACAGAGACGATTTTGGTTTTTTGAAAAAGGTGGAGAAACACCCTATACAACTGCACACAGAAAGAACTCTGTAATATGTGGCCTGAGTTTATGTAGAAGAGACCAAAATTTCATTTTGTACTGCCGCAGGATGGAACTGGAAGGGGAAGAATGAAGAGGTATTATATCTAAAATGTTGCAATGGTGCACTGTTGTAATTTCTTAAATGCAGAGTTCAAATTAATTCAGTGATTGTGAGTCAGAACAACCTTCTGTGAAACCTTGAGGGGAAGGAAGACCTTCATCTCCTGCCTTTCCATGCTAGGCAAGCTGGCCGGCCTGCTTTTGGTCAGTTCCCCACATTTAGTCAACGATACCTTTGTACATTTCCTTGAAGGTCACAGACAACACCTTTCATTCTTCTTTTGTATTTTTATTAAATATTTTCTTGATTTTCAGAAGTACGTGTAATGTCTCTTGCTTGTATCACCTTTCATTCTTAAGGCTTCTTTTATAAGATATCAGACATCAGAGAGGCAGCTATGTAGCTTAAAGACAATTAAGGGTTGAACTGAGAATGACAATGATCAAACAGTTCAGCTCTTTAAATACTTATTCTCGTCGATTTAATACATTACATATTTTTAAATTTTATTTTAATCCCAGCAAGTAAAAAACAATTATTACAAAAGCAAAAGTAACATCGCTGCCTTCCACTTTACATATTCATATTTAGAAGGTTTAGAGGGTTTTCCCCAATGAATTTTATTGCTTTTTTTTTTTAACTTATTGCTGGTTTTGCAATTTTTGCAATTTTTAAAAAACCACTTAGAAGCTTCAAAAAAATTAAGTTTATAACTCAGTATTAAATGCATCCATTTAGATATTCCACTGATTTCAAGCAAGTATGCTTCGGATCATAGCTTTAAGAACAGTACATTTTTCAAACAGTAGAATTCATTTTGAGCTAATACAAAATAAATTTTCAGCATACAATATGAAAAACATTTCTGCTTCTCTCAAGAAGCACTCTCTTCTTAGAGTCTACCTCCCCTGGCAATCTTTCAATGAATCAACCAATGACTCAAACTACAAATATCTTTTCTATACCAGCTTTCTAAAATGTGAGGCTTTACATTGAAGACAAAACAACAGTCAAAAGACATTACTCCTATTTCAAATCAAGCCAGGCGCATTAGTGCATAACAAAAATGTAGCTGCAAGCTAGAACAGCTACAAAAGAGGCATTATACCTCCATGAATTATAGGATACATGTCTAGTACTACTATTACTTGGCCAAACCAGTTCAAATCTGATGTTTATGGCACTTTTAAATTCAGATTACTGCAACCATTCTTCACTCATTTTATAGCAAACACAATAGATATTTTCAATCAACCTGGCTTTCAACTTTATCACAATGTACTGTATAGTCTCATAAACACCATCTGAAGTAAGTTAACATGATTAGCCCAAAGCCACTCAGTTACCTCAATAGTATTTGATTATCTCCCACAACAAACCCCAACTTTCTATTAAGCTTGCCCACTTTTTAGTGATGGGATTCCTAAAACTTTTACAGCTAAAAGAGAAATGTAGCAGTATTCCCCAAAGCAGAACCTACAAACCATAAAGAAAGTCACCTGCTGAATTTCTGCTAGTCATAGTTATTAAAGGTACAACACAGCAGGACAAAAAGAAGCTGACGCGTACATACTTTCTAGATTTCAAACTTATAAGCAAAACTGCTCTCAAAAAAGCTGCAACAGAGGCATATACAGAAAATGTAGTGCTATAATAAAGCTATATACACAGTACTCCTATTTTGCTTTCATTTTCTAAATACTATTGGCTAGTATGCTGTGCTTTAAAACAGGCTAACAGCACGACTTTCAGTGGTGATGAGGAACCCTAGATCAGTGTTTCCCAAACTTTTTTGGGCAACGGCACACCTGTTTACTGAAAAAAAATCTTGCGGCACACCACCATTAAAGCCCCGCCCCGTGACGTCAGCGCGCAGCGTCACGCCGGGAGGGACGCACGAAAGTGAAAGTTTTTTTCCTCCCCCTTGCCGGGGAACCTCCAAGCTTTGGGGGTGGGAGGAGGCAGCAGAGCGAGGGACTGAGGGACGGCGGCAACTGAGGCGGCGGCGGCTGTGGTGGTGGTGGCGGCGATAGCGGGCGGAGGAGGGGGCGGCGGCGGGGCTTGAGGAGCCGTCGCCGGGAGTTGCTGCTACTGTTGTTGCTGCTGCTGCCCGGACATGCCGGCCTCCTCCTCCTCCGCTGTCTCGCGCTCCTCCCTTTTGCACGCACTGCCCCGCCGCTCGGCACCACCACTGCGGAGCCGCCCCCGGCTCGACGCGGATCCTCGCCGCCGCCGCCTCTCACCGCCCGACTCGCCCGCCTCCTTCCCACGGCACACCAGCCAATGTCTCACGGCACAGTAGTATGCCGCGGAACACCGGTTGGGAAACACTGCCCTAGATTGCCTATTTAGAATAAATATATACCCAGGGCTTTTTTTCAGCTGGAACTCGCCTGAACTCAGTTCTGGCACCTCTCAGTTGGGCACCATTGCCATTATAAGAGAACAAGTGAGGTGTTCATGGTGGGTTCCAGCACCCCTTTTTCTAGAAAAATAGCACTGTATATAAGTTAGAATTAAGAGACAATCAAATCTTGGACAGTATTATTACAAAGATTGACTTAATTTGAGGCCATGGTCAATCACACAACTGGGAATATCCCCCATGGATTTAACTGTACTTTCTTTAACTGGTCATACATAGTCCTACCCGCTGTATATTTACTCAGAAGTAAGCCACACTGTGGTTTCTGTTGCTTATGTGAAACTCGGTGTATGAAGGACCACAGCTGTGCAGCACAATCCTGTCATTGCTCACTCATAAGCAAAACCCACGGGACTTATTTCCAAGAAAGCATGCGTAGGATTTTGGTCTTAATATGTTTAGGGATGGAGATGCATGGATGTTATGCAGATCTGCCCCTCCACAGCTCCCCCCCCAAAATACCAAAAAAATGTCACTAGGGATATGCTGGATATGCTTGATATACTAAGTTTCTGAAATGACTTTCAGATTTAAGACAAAGGAGAAATGGTTCCTGTTTTGTGTTATTGTTAATGCAGCAACAAAAATACAATACTGTACTTTTTTTCTCCATTTCTCAGCCTGCAATAAATATGGCATTGTATGTGTGCTTCTGGAGGTATGAGAGGCACAGGCTGCAAACACAGAAAAAGCACTTCGCATTTTGACAGCAGTGCAGTAGAATGCAAGGTACTGTGACTCAGATATTGTTCAGATGATGTAGATGGGTCTCTGGAAATACATAAACAAAGGGATGCCTAAATGCATATTGATGCATATTGATGCACATCCGTGCCAAAATAAGCAACATACTTTGAGGCGAGAAATTTATGTCACATGTCTGATCTGCCCCTCACCCCTGCATTTGCATACATTTAATATGAAGGATTGTTCGGAGGCAGGAAAAGGGTGAGCCTTCCGTTCATTCTTGGCGGTGGGTACCGTTCCTTTTGAGATAATATGGTCGAGAAGCATTTTTAAAAATCTGACGTTACAGCCATTGGAGAGCTCCGCCAAGTCTTCTCAAAACGAGCCTTTAAGAAAGGGGAGAAGGCACTCGCGGGAGCCGCAGCCCCAGGGAGGCGCCCGGGCGGAGGAGGAGGCTGCTGGGCGCTGCCGGCGCATCCGCGGCTCCGACGGAGGAAGGTCGGCTTCCCCTCCGATGCGGCACCTGGCGGGCCGCGCAGCCTCAGGCAAGGAGGAGACCCGGCCGCGCCCCCCCCCCCGCCGAGATGCCCGCAGCCCGACGCGCCAGCGAGAAGCCCCCGCGCCATTCCCGCGGCCGAGGAGACCCGGCGGCTCTGCCTCCCTAGCGGGCGGCGCCTGCTCCTCCGCAGCCCCTTCTCGGCCCCGAGGGAGCCGCGCATCTCTCTCGCGCCCGCCCGCCCGCCCGCCCGGCCCTTACCTGTCTGGGGAGCCGCGGCGCCCGCCGCACTCAGGGCGCCCAGCGGAGGCCGAGGCGGCGGCGGCGGCGGCGCTGGGCTGGGCGGCCCACCTGGAAAGCAGCCTTCCGCGGAGCCGCTCGCCCGGCCTCGCGCTCCACCATCTTCCTCCTCCGGCTCCGCCCCGGCTCGGCTCCGCAGCCTCCCGGCCAGCGCCTCGCCCGCCCGCCCTCCGCCCCGCCCTCCGCCCGCCTCCGCTCGCTCGCGCCGCGCTCGCTCCTCAGGCTCGGCCCCGAAAGAGGAGGCGGCGGCGGCGGCGGCGGCGCAGCGAGTGGCCGCTCGCCAAGGCATCCGGCGAGGAGGAGGAGGAGGAGGCGGCCGCCGCCGCCGCCGCCGCTTGGGTCGCCCGCAGGCCTGGGGAGGAGAGGGCCGGCCGGCCGGCCTTCCCCTCAGCGCCGAGCCCTGGCTGCCAGCCTGGCCGGGATGAAGAGAGGCCCCCCAGCCCCGCCCTCCGGACTAGAAGGAAATGGAAGTCTTCGAAACAAGATTGCGTGAAGAGAAGGGATTTAAAATTCTGCACTTCTCATAAAGATGTTGTTGTGAACTTAAATACCATGGTGATTTTTAAAAATGCATAGAATTAACACTGAAAAACTTTTGCAATTACAGTGGTACCTCGGGTTAAGAACGGACCTCCAGAACGAATTAAGTTCTTATCCCGAGGTACCACTTTACTGAACTTTGTAAACATGTTGTGGAATAAGTATAATGCTTTAGGAAAATGAAGTTGTAATGTTATCCTTAAAAAACACACCTTGAGCTTACAAATTATATTGCCTGGGAAGTGTAAATAATATGATTATGATTACCTGACAGTGTGGCACTTTTAGAATCTACTTTATGCTGTTATTAAAAAGTCAGTTTTAAAATGGAAGTAAACTACAACCATCAAATACAGTAAGGCTAAAATGTTTTTTCCCTAGCCTTCCTCATAGCAAAATCATCCAAAACTTCATCAAAATTTGTCTAAGTTTGTCACTTTCAATGTACAGAATGCTCAGTGTGGACAACCTCTCTTGAGACATTGTGGCCCTTATTTCCTTTTTAATTCTTTTGAGTCTTGAAAAACTCCTCTCTCCTGAGCAGTTAGTGACCATAAAGCTAAGAAATAGCCACAAGATTGCTTCCACATTAGGAAAGGCTATCTGATTTTTTTCCTTGTATATAATTTGAGAAAGGTCTGTATGAGACAGAGAGTGCTCTGCTGTAAGCCTATGGCTTTGTCTCATGAACAGGTGAAAGTGCAAAATATCATCAATAGGTTTCAGGTCAATATCTTCTGGCGATGCTTTCATCAACAGTTCAACACGTTGCTGAATTTCTTGCTTAGATGCTGTCAAATTAGCAAGAATGGCAAACAATTCTGCAGTATCACTATACACACTACTTCTGTTTAAATTGGCTTCAAGTGCATCTAATAAATGATTTTCTTCTAAACCTATCTCTTGAAGATAGTGCATCTGAGGCATCAGGTGCACTTCTGTCATTTCTTTGCCGTTCCCTCACTCTTTGTCTCCTTGTTTTGTAGTTGACATTTGGCAAGGTGGTTTTTGCTTGTTTCTCAAGCTCATAAAAAACAAGTCTAATTTTCCTTTAAAATTCAGGAGTGAACTGTACAAACTTGCACAAGAACTCAATAACAGGTCTGATTTCTGAAGGGCTTTGCTGACCATGTGAAAATGACGAAGCACATGGATCCAAAAATGCAGCATAAACACAAATTCCAGTTCTTCCATTTTCTGCAAAAGATTGTTAGCTTGGAGCCTGGTCTCCCCCTTCCCCTTAACATCAGAGTACAAATGACTGAGGGCATCGGTGATAGCACTGTAACTTTCCAAAACAGCTTCTGTGGCTTTTGTGTGTACATCCCACTTAGTGTCTGACAAATATTAAGGCACTTTAGACTGAGGTGGCAAAAATGATTTTAGAACTGCCCATCTCTTTGTGGAGGATGAAAAGAAGGTATAAATTTCACTGATAATGCCAAAACAGTTCACTGCATCAAGGCAGCAATCCACAGCTGAACAGCCCACCAGATTTAAAAAGTGACCTGCACATGGAATAAATTTAGCAAATTTTTTTTTAAATGATTTTTTGCTGCATACCATTGTACTTGCCAGCCATGTTGGCAGCATTGTCATAAGACTGCCCATGGCATTTTCTAAAGTCAATTTCAAGCTCAGTAGTAAAATAGGTAAAGGTAAAGGTACCCCTGCCCACACGGGCCAGTCTTGACAGACTCTGGGGTTGTGCGCCCATCTCACTCTATAGGCCGAGGGCCAGCGCTGTCCGAAGACACTTCCGGGCCACGTGGCCAGCGTGACAAAGCTGCATCTGGCAAGCCAGCGCAGTACACGGAAACGCCGTTTACCTTCCCGCCAGTAAGCGGTCCCTATTTATCTACTTGCACCCGGGGGTGCTTTCGAACTGCTAGGTTGGCAGGCGCTGGGACCGAGCGACGGGAGCGCACCCTGCCACGGGGATTCGAACCGCCGACCTTTCGATCGGCAAGCCGTAGGCGCTGAGGCTTTTACCCACAGCGCCACCCGCATCCCATAAGTAGTAAAATAGTTGAACACTAAATCAGCCATGCTTTCCCCTGAGTAGTCTTTCAGCTCAAGGAAAGTTAAAAATCTCTCAGTTGGCAAACCATCTTCAGGTGATACATATCTGATAAATAAAGTCAACTGATCAGTATGTGAAATGTCAGGAGTGGAATCTACTGAAAAGCTGAAATATCCAGCCTTTCTCACATCAGCCAGAATTGCATCCTTAACTTTTTTTGCCATGAGCTGAAAAAATTCCTCACATACAGTTTTTGACAAATAAGAGGGATTGCCTGATCCAGAATGTCCATACCGATTGATATGAGCATGTAAAAATGGATCAAATTTTGCCACTAGTTCTAAAAGACCATTATTTGGTGATCCAAAGTGTTCATCGTCTCCCCTGAATGGTAAGCCTCATTCTACAAGAGTGCATATTATAGCAATAATTCTCTCCATGACATGCTGCCAGTATTGCTGTACTGCTTTTATTTCTTCCTCTAGCTTGGAAGTAAACGTTGGCCTGCGCTTCCTTGTTAGGTAGGCCAACATGGCATTCCTATGCTTCTCTGAGTTTTCATGACTTTGGATAAGATGGGGGTTGTGCCAGTCATCAAACCCTTCGGTAGCCAAAGCTGTGGAAGAAGATGCAAGGTCTGGAAAGAGTTTACAAACATAGCAAAAAATCTGCCCTTTTGAGGGAGAATATGCAAGCCACTCTCGGCTATATGTTTCCCCATTTACTTTTGTTGGATAAAAAAAAGCTTTTGTGCAAAACCTGGACTGCTTTTTGTACACTGATTTGGAATTTGAAAATGGTCCACGATGATGCAGAACTTGAGAGGGACCCCTCTCTACCCAATAGGATACTTTCTCATGTGATTATTCTGACCACAAACCAACATCTGGTACAGTAGATCTACGTTTGGCATCATCTTTCTCTTGCATCTGGAACACCTTGGACTTGGCCTACTATCATATCAGGTGTGAACTGCAAAATCTGACTATTCACATTCTTTTCTTGTGGCTCTTTAGCCTCTCCCTGCCCAGTAAGTGACTGTTGAATTAGTTCTATATTTTCATGGCTGCTTCCTCATAATCGTCTTGCTGTTCCACATCCTGCTTCACTGTTTCTCTTTCAGGGAGGTTTTTGTCTGGTTGAATGCTTGTAGCTGGTTCAGACTGAAAAGCTTCACTGCTGACTCTTGTTGCTTCACTGAGTGGTTGATGCACGAAAGCAGTGATTGGTCTTAACTTCATTATCACAGCATTTCCGAGTCTCTGTCTCTTGCGCTTGCTAGCACCACCTTCAAATCTTTTACTCATGATTAGATTAGAATCTAAAAATAAGAATCTAAAATAGAAAAATAAGAATAAAATTTAATCTTCAACTGGGTAAACTTGGGCTTCTGTCACTCTTCAGTAGCTGCCACCACTCACTGACTTCCCTATGCCTTTCTTGAGGGGCAGTGAGACCCCTCTGGCTGACTCCTGGGGTTTGGAGATGAAAACCCCGAACTTTGGGTTTCTCCTGGAGGGTTGGCACCTGCACATTTTTGGGCTTTTTCCCTCCCAGGACCCTTCTTAAGGCACTGGTAGTGGGCGGAGCGGGTGAGACTCTGTAGGCACAGCACTAGACTGGGCTTTTAAACAAAGAACAAATATTTTCTTGACCATCTACAAGTAACAGGATTTTAAACACAAAAGGCCCTTTAAATTAAACACGGAAAAGGAAAACACCACTGGGCACAAATCAAATAAGACACAGTTCCTCTGACCCTGAACTAATTCTTATACTTATTTTCCCCCTCAAGATGAGGTCCAGTTACCAACCTGCAGCCTGGCCTCCTGCCTTCTACAGGTAGTTCTGGATCCCTCCAAGGATCCCTTCCCACTGCTGCCTTCCCTGGTCCCCAAGGCCACTCTCTGCCTGTGGGCAATCTGCAGTGCGTGCTGCAGGCACCAACAGGGCTCTGTGAAGTGTGAAAGATAGAAGGAATGGAAGAGACTTGGGAGAGCTTGCTTGCGTAGTCTTATCTGCTCCATGCAGCCTTCCACTGATTAAAGTGTAGCACGTACCACTACTGACTGACCCTTGAGCTGAGGAAGGCTGTGCAGCTGGTTGTTGACTCTCTGGGCCTGCTGGCTCTGGATTCTGAGATGGAAAATTCTGGGGTGCGAGGATACTCGTCAGGGTGAAAGTCCCCGCAGGTTTCTGCGGTTAGCGGAAGAAGCCAAATACAGGAGCAAAACAGCGGTCAGTAGACCACAATCTTTATTGTTGCGCAACAGGTCTCCACACAGAGTAAGAACCCCGAACATGGGTTACAAGCTCTTTGAAGACCTTCCCTCCCTACCCAGAATACATATCCAGAACCATAATTTATACATCGCTGATACATCTTCATCATGTCGCAAGGAGCGGGGGGAGTCGTGAGGTTACCCAAGTTCATCAACTTGCCCTGGATATCAGGTTCCCAACACCTTAAGTACCTGCCACCTAAAGAACAAGAAAACTATCAATGCATATCCTGGCCTTCTGACCTTCCCGAGGATGGGCTGTGGGAACACCAACCTCAGGAAACCC